TCATCACAGTGTTCTCATTGCATGGTTTTTTCAGAAAGACTCTCTAAAAACTCCCAAGCTTCATCAGCATTTTTCCTCATAAAATCCCCGTGGCACATTGATTCTAAGGAAGTTTTTGCAGAATAATCTAATCCTTCATAAATTATTTGGTACAATCGCCATTTTTCTAAACCGTGATGAGGACATTGGATGAGAAGATCTTTAAATCGGTCAAAATACTTCCAAAACGGTTCTCCCGGGACAATTTTAAAATTTATGATGCTATTTCTTAGCTTCACCATTTTATGGATCGGGAAAATTTCTTAAGAAAAACGGTGATAAATTCCTCCCAAATAGTGATGGAATTTACGGGTAAGCTATATAGCCATTTTTTTGCTTTGTCTTTGAGAGCAAATGGAATAAATCTGAGTTTGATCGCATCTTCTATTAATTCTCTCATTTTAATCATAATACGCATCTTCTATTAATTCTCTCATTTTAATCATAATACACACTTCCTCAAATTCCGAGATAAAAATATATTCATCTTCTGTTTCATTTTCAAGGAATTTGGGAAGCATGTTTATGTAATGCGGTCTAAGCTCAAAATTTATTCCATTTGTTTCGGACAGCCTAATGCAAGAGGGGATTGCATTCCTAATGGGATAGCACATATCTTGAAGAACGGGTGGATTATGATACGCCATTTCTATGATTGGTTCAAAGCGAATTAATCGATGTGTATTATCCCTAATCCACGGTTGCATACACCAAAACTATTTCTTTTTATACTTTTTTTTAATAAAAGTTAGTTTTTTTTCTAATCCACGGTTGCATACACCAAAACTATTTCTTTTTATACTTTTTTTTAATAAAAGTTAGTTTTTTTAATGAGGAGAGAATGGAAAGAGAGAAAAATTCTAACTAAAATAAATCAAAATCAATCACTTTTCAATCACTCTAACTCTAGGGTTAAGCCTAACTCAACTAGACCAACTCCTAACCAAAAACTCCTAAAGTGAAAAGATTAAAGTTTTACCCGGGTAGTCAGCCAAGTAAGGATAGTACTAGAGGGTGATCAGAGATCAATTAAGTACATCGTTCCTTACGGAGCGCTTTACGCAACCCCTAAACCTTGCCTTAGACACCAACTAATCCAAGAAAACTTAAACCGGTTCACTTAAGGATTCTTTGTTCCTTATTGAGCTCGAATCCTTAGGGCCAACGTCTAATGAGTTTTATTAGGCTTGGGTAGTGTAGTGAGGAAGGGTGATGAAATCCCTCACCTTATCTTGATTATGGGGTTTTGTCCTTAAAAATATTTTTAGGTGTGTGCCAAATCAAGATGCTCAAATCACTTTGGTGAATTCCTACTAACTATATGAAATGCAACCCTAGAAATTAAAAGCGACTAAAAAGGATAAAAAAATCTTTATATTTTTTATTATGGTTTACAATCAAACAACTATGAGAAGGGTGAACATTATTTGAGTTTATTATCTTGTTAGTTAATGTCCAAGTGAAAGGTGAATTTTATTATGGTCAACAAAAAGAAATCCTTTTTTTTAAATCCTAATTGTGAAGCTAACTAAAGAGGGTGGAATTGAAAATGCTAGAAAGAAGAGTTACCTAAAAGCAATTCTCTAAGTTCTAGATCTCCAATCTGCGATCTTCAAGCTCCAAGTGGTTCCTTCACAAAAAACACACAAGTTAAAGAACCAAATTAAATAAAATCCTATTTAAGCACCCTCCCCGGCAACGGCGCCAAAAACTTGATGCGGCATAAACATGTACCAAAAAATATTGCAAGTGCACAACCATGTCAAGTTATAGTATAAAGATATCGATCCTACGAGGAAGGTGTTTTGTAGGAGAAAATATAAAATCGGTTCTTATGTTGTGTATGTGACAAATAGGAGTGATGAGTGAATGTGATTGTGAAGAGATTAAGAAGGTGATAATGTGTAAATAGGCATAAAATGTAAGTGAGAGTGGATGTGACAATGAATGAATGATTTCCACAAGGAGAGATGAATAAAATCAAGAATCAAAAAGGAAAATCAAGAATCAAAATAAAATTCAAGAAAGTAAAGATGGCGGATTCAATTAAAGATATGGGTAATCTAAAATTTAATCCACTTCTTAAAAAATGGTGATTCCCTAGAGGGTTCTAGCCTAAAGGCGAATCAAAAAAAAAAAACTAAACCCAAGAGGGTTCCAGCCTCAAGGTGAATAGTACAAGAAATTAAAATCTAACTACAAAATAAATTACAAAATATAAACTACAAAATAAATTATAAGAATTAAATGCAAGAAAATAAATCTACTCTATAAGCATGAAATAAATCTAAGGCAAGAGGGTTCTAGCCTCTTGGCTATTTAAACAAGAAAATAAAATCTAATTACAAGCATGAAAATAAATCTAAAGTAATAAGTAATAAAAGAGAAATAAGAAAAACAAACATTCAAATTAATCTCCATCTTCATCTTCATCTTCATCTTCATCATCCAACAAAGAGAAGAAAAGAAACAATTTAAAGTGGTGAAAAAATTATTTTATTAATTGTAACAAAAGTTATAAATTTGGAAGGTCTTCTTAATTAAGAGTGGCCCTCCTCTCCAAATGGAGTTACAAAAATTTTCACACCCTCAACCCCTCACTCTCTACCTCTATTTATAGTAAACATCAGTGAATTAGAGCACTTGGATTGAAATCTTATCCAAAACAAGCAAATTTCAGCCTTTGATCTGTAACAGAACGACGTAGGTATCGATACCAGCATCGATGCTGGCATCGATGTCCAATCAAATATCTGCCTCCATAGATGGCTTCGTCTCGTCGAGATAGGCGATTTTCATAAGAGATATCGTCGTTAATGTGTAATATTGACTATGAAAAGTTTTTCCTAAACATATACTTTATAAGGTGTATGATATTTTTTACAAAAATTTAATTTTCTAGTGGTTGTTAAGAATTTTGCATATTCATTTTAGTGTCTACAGGTTAGAAATTCTGATAATGTTTTTTTTGTAAATTATGAATTTTAGGTGTTTTTTATAATTTTTTAAACTTATAGGCTTTTTCTACAGATTGTAAATTATTTATAGACAATTTATAATTCCTATGCTTTCAATTTACTAATTAATTTAAAATTCTCGGGGTGTTTTTTATAAATTTTAAATTTTATAGGTTTGTTTATAATTTTTTAAACTTTAATGGTGTTTTCTATAAATTATAAATTATGTAGAAGATATTTTTAATTCCTATATTTTTAATGTACTGTTAGGTTAGAAATTATTAGGATTTTTATAAATTTTACAATTTTGAAGGTTTTCTTTTGCAATTTGTAAAAAGTTCAGAGTGCGTATTGCAAATTCCATAAATTTTCGGGGGTTATTTGTGTTATTTGTAGGTTTTTAGTGTGTTTATAGGTTTGAAATTTTTAATGTGTTTTTTAATAAATTTTGAATTTTTAGGGGTGTTTTTGTAATTTTTTAAACTTACAATATATTTTCTCCAAAGTTAAAAAACTTACAATTTCTAAATAGCATATGTTTTTTAAATTTCTCACTGAATTGAAATAAGTAAAAATTTATAATTTTTAAGATGTTTTAATAAAATTTTAAATTTGTAAGGGTGTTTTTGCAATTTAAAAAACTTAAAGAATATTTTTTTACAATGTGTAAAAACTTTTAGGTGCTATCTAGCATATGTTTTTTAGATTTCTCTATGAACTAAAATAAGTAAATAATTTGAATTATATGAAATGTATTTCTTTTATCCAATAACATGTTAAGTCTCATTATGAATAGAATAAATAATTTAGTTATCAATTCAAATAAGATATGATAATAAGAATAAATTAGGATAACAATGTAATATTCAAAAAAATCAAAGGGTAATATTGACCATAGAAAGATTTTTCCGAACTCGTGCTTTTAAAAGGAGTATGATATGATATAGTGACACGACTCTGCAAGTATCCTTATTTGGCGATATGACTACCAACGAAAGATTAATTTTTAAGAACACGATCAAAGATAAGCATATAACAGTACTGTCAGAGTTCAAGATCTTTAAATATGAAGGTAACATATTTTACAATTAAAATTCTTATTAAAGGCCACTAAATATAAAATTCATCTTATGCATGTCTCAAATTTGTATAAAAGATATGCATGTCATCGTAAATTGTGTTAATAATATAGCAACTTATTGAAGAAATAAGAGATAGATAAGCAAACCACACAAACATTCATATAACACGATAAAGAAAAAATATTACACTTTAAAGCTAATATGCATTGCTCATTCAGAACAAGCTGCTAAAACAAAAGCATCTCCATCAAGGCTCTTTATAAATACAACACAAATTTAAAAGCATCTCCATCAAGGCTCTTTATAAATACAACACAAATTTAAATTATTTAATATTTTTAAAAATAACTTAATTTTTTGAGTAAAATACAAATTTAAATTATTTAATATTTTTAAAAATAACTTAATTTTTTGAGTAAAATCAGGAATCTTTAGAAATGATTTTCATGAACTCTTTTAATTTTTTATATGGTTATATGGATGCTTTTATCATATAAAAGTGTAATAGAGTTAGCATTAATCTTTATTTTATGATTTTTTGTAAAGTCTATCAGTGATTAGCAACAAAATTTATATCCTCTTTAGTTTCATTCTAACCCACTTTTAATTAATCATCTTGTCCTATTAGCTTTAATTATTCATCCTTCTTTTATAACATTATCTTTTCAAGTGCTTTTTACTTTTATAACATTATACCTTCTTAAACCAAGCTTGGTTTCATACCGATCTAAATAACGTGAAAATTCAAATTAGCTTTAGATTATAGCTATTTCTTGTCAGTTCAATTATTACATGAAAAATTTTAAATTTGGTGTAACTCATTCAAACAAACATTAAAAAAATAACCACAACAGTAAAGTTTGAAAACATAAGTGAGAAAAACAATCAAAGTGAAATTAAGAAATAAATTTTAGTAAAAAAATAAGTCAAAAATACTTAATCACAATATTTAATTTAATCACGTGCATTGCAGGTGCATAAATCCTAGTAGGAATATAAACTTGGAAGTTTCAGCTTTCCCATAATCATGATGGCGAGATAAAAATCAGAAACTGTCATCAACTCATGCCCTTCCCCATCCATAGAAAACGATTAACTTAGTTGTACACCATATATTTCGGAGTCGCGCTAAACTTCTGATAGCCTTTTATTACTTTGTTGACAGCATCGAGAAAATCCTTCTCAGTGACCGTCTTTCTTCGTGCACGGATCGCATACATCCCAGCTTCAGTGCATACGCTCCTAATGTCAGCTCCTACAAGGCATAAAAATGAAATAAAATAAGGCACTGCATTGAACAGTTAAAAATGCAGTAACGCACTGTGCTCCTACCTTCATATATATAGATTAAAGTTCAACAAAACATTAACTGCTGAAAAGTATGATAAAAAGTAAATGGAAACCCATGCATGCATAAATTCAAGAAAGCTATATACTAATGATCATGCATGCCCTGATGCAATTGCTTAAAATCCTGAGCTTATAAAAGACCGAATGGTTACTTGAATACCACTTCAATACCAGAAGCAACAAGGACTGTAAAAGATATATTAATTGAAAGAGGAAAATATAAAAGGTTCATTTACCAGTGGAGTTGGGACACAGCCGAGCAAGCAGCTCAAATCGAATATCCCTTTCACAGTTCATCGTCCTTGTATGGATCTTGAAAATTTGTGTCCGACTCTCCAAATCAGGAAGTCCAAACTCAACTTTACGGTCCAACCGCCCAGGACGTAATAATGCTGGATCTAACGTGTCAGGTCTGCAGACAGCAGCATTGGGCAAAATGAGATAAAATCAGCAAAATATATTCAATGCAAGTTTTATTTTGGCAATGTAAAATCCACAACACGGTGCAAACTAGGTCAAGCACTGAGGTTTAACACAAACGCATAAGATTATCCATCTTAACCTTAAAGCACTGAAGAGATCAGTCCATCCTATTCCTATGTTACATTTATTGAATCTCAAAATAGAAGGTTATATCAATCAAACAAAAAGAATGACAAAAATTAATGGAACTTGCATATGTACATTTCTAATGCATCTGTTAGGTTAAGGCAGATGCAGTACATTTTTTCTGTTATGTTCCAAGTTCAACAAATCAAGTTCCAACATAAAGATAACAACCAGTCTCACAATTTCGAAAGAATTCTGGAGATGGATCCTAGAATACAAACAGTGCTCTTACAAGCAAAGATTATTGCTTTACCATTTAGTTTGAAATAAATCTCGTCAGTCTGATTGAAAATTCATTTTTTTACACCCATGGTACCAAAGCACATGGATCTAAGCAATAAATGTTTTGAAAAGCCAAGCAGATTTACTAATAGTTCTCACGAAAAGATAATTAACTAATAAGCAATCAGCAGCAAAATGCATGAAATTACCTATTTGTTGCCATAAGGACTTTAATATTTCCTCGGGCATCAAACCCATCTAGTTGATTAACAATTTCAAGCATAGTGCGCTGAACTTCATTGTCGCCTCCCACACCGTCATCGAATCGAGCACCACCAATTGCATCAACTTCGTCAAAGAACACAATGCAAGCCTTTTTGGAACGAGCCATCTACAAATTAAATCAGCAATAAAGAAGACAGAGGACTATTTCTTAAGAAGGATTGGAGAGTAATACAGAAAATAAGATTCATTCTGCACAAGTTTAACCACCTGAAAGAGTTCACGGACCATTCGAGCACCTTCACCAACATATTTTTGAACTAGCTCACTTCCAATAACACGAATGAAGCATGCATCCGTTCTGTTGGCTACAGCTCTAGCTAAGAGTGTTTTACCGGTTCCTGGTGGACCATAGCAGAGAACACCCTTGGGTGGGTCAATACCAAGCTTAACAAATTTCTCCGGATGCAGCATGGGAAGTTCCACAACCTGAAAAGTTCAAATAATAAGCAGTACAAATTAAAGATATGACAGCGGTTGCAATTAATCATAGCAATTACATGCACCATTAATCCTGGAGATTAACTCCCAACACAAGATAGCAACCACGGTACAAATGTACAGGTTGATCTAATTTTAATTTGAACAATATATGGATGGCAGTACTTACTTCTCGCATCTTCTCTATTTGCTCCTTGCATCCACCAACATCATTGTATGTAACATCAGGCTTCTCTTCTACAGTCATCATTGTAACACTGGGATCAATCTTAGGCGGCAAAGGAATTTGAATTTGATACTTATTCCGATCAACTCTGCAATAGAAAAAATCACCCAAGAAAAAACTCTTTAAACATACAAATAATTATAACATAATAAAAATATAAAATATAATTATTGTTGTTAGTAACCACACAACACAGACAAAATAATAAGGTTATACTTTTTAATGTTAGACTAACACATCCAGTTATGCATACAAGAACACAGTACCTACTCCACATTTTTAAAGTCAAGTATGCACATAGTCCGTTTTCCATTTGATAAAGAAAAATGAAGACGAAACAGAAAAATACAGGACGATATTTAAACTTCTTAATTTCGCATATTTCCATTTGATTAAGAAAATCAAGAAAAATCAGATACAACAAAATGATATACTAAAATCATATCTGATCCATAGTAAACCCTAAATCTACTTAAGTCTAAATTGAATAACGATGTGACAATGATTTTATGCTCAGTCATGCTAAAGCTTTAGCAACTGAGTATTTTAGAATTATGACATGGAACATTTTACGAAATCCTAGTTGCTTTCGGGCAAGATGGATTTTGCTACACACTTACTATTTGATAAAAAGAGATATATACTCGGATTCGATTTAGATGCTAACCGGATATCTTGGATAATGATTGACGTTTTGAAGGAAATCAATCTTTGAAGAAGAGGTTTCTTGTATTACATTATGCCACAGTAAATAGATTAATCTATAAACAGTTTGTAAACACCCTTACTTATTTGGATACATTGTCAGATATTTCAGATGTACAGAGTCAAATTTGGATCAGGTTAATTGTATTTACAGACATCCTTATATCCAATTCAAAAGATACTAAAAACCAATTCCATTTTAATACTTTTGATAGCTCCCAGCAAGAAGAATTTGGCTACACCCTTACGTATTTGATAAAAAAAGAGATATCTACTCGGATTCCATTTAGATACTATATCCGGATACCTTGGATAATGGTTGATGTTTTGAAGGAAAAATAACTTCAACCTTTAGCTGAAGAGGTTTCTTGTAATAAATTACGCCACAGTAAATAGATTAATCTATAAACAGTTTGTACACACCCTTACTTATTTGGATGCATTCTCAGATATTTCAGATATACAGAGTCAAATTTGGTTCAGAAATATTAGATTACTTGTATTTACTATTTACTGACATCCTTATAACCATTTCAAGACATACTAGGTGCAAAATGCAAACAAGCTACTAATTCATTGATAGATAGAAAGGTTAATAGCAAATTTCTAGCTAATACTCTAAGGGCCTGTTTGTTTCGCAAAAAATTGCAGAAAGTGGGGGAAAGAAAATGAATTTTGATCTTTTTCTCTACTTTTTGATGTTTGGTTCGTCAAAATTCGGAAAGAAAGTGAGGGAGAAAATGAGTTGTCATCATATTATTGGATGAGATGAATTTTTTGTTTTTTTGATATTTTCTTGTGTTTTTTCTTGTGTTTGGTTCTTAAAATAAATGAGAGAAAATGAGCTGTCATTATATTATTGGATGATGTGACCCATAATTAAGAAAATCAATTTCTTAGTTTTTTGGGAGGAAATGGATGAAAGGAAATTTTAATGAGATGTGATGAGTTGTCACCATATTATTGGATGATGTGAGTAATTTTTAAAGATGGTAGAAAATAAAGGAAAATTGAGTGATGTGAGTTAGATGAGTTGATTGATGTGACTCATTTCTTGTGTTTAGTTTATTTTTAAAAGTAAGAAATGAGATGTGATGGGATGAGTTGTCACAATATTATTGGGGGAAAGTGGAGGAAGTGAAGAAAAGTGGGTTAAAGAAAGTTGGGGCAAGTGAAAAAGTGAAGGAAAGTGGGTTTTGGATTCTGGGGGAAACGAAACAAACAGGCCCTAAAGGTCCAGGATCTTACCCAACACGCATCCCTTCTTCAATATCAGTGGGAGAAACTTTGTCACCTAGTCCAACAACAAACTGCATATAAGATAAATCACTTATAAGTTACAAATACAGCCCATTGTGTGAACATCAAATGTAAGGAGGTATCATATATACACAGCTTATACCTTGGCGATTTGCTTAACATTTATCACATATTTGGCATCTTCAGTGTTTGGGTTAATAATTTTTGTACATCTTGCAACCTGTAACAGAAATAGATATTCCACTTAGGAACTCAAAATACCCCTGCAGAAGTAAATCAACAAGGTACTGCCTGACACAAACAAGTAACATACCTGGAGTGGTTGTTCTTCTTGCATCATTTGTTTGTCGGATACTAAGTCCCATTGACTTGGAGCAGCTAAACCAGTGTCTGACTCTTTGATCCCTGTTGTATCATTTAAACAATAATGTTAAGACAAGAGGAGGAACACACCCACAAAAAGAATCCTACATAGCCTTTGGCAAACATGCATATATCAGTTTTTGGTTTCTACATTATTCTTTAATGAAGACTCAGGTTTTTGACTATCTCATTTGTCTTAAAGTTCTGCAGAAAAAGTATTCACATTTATTGCATTCATTGACACTCCATAGTAATTCTTGAAGTCCCATTCAGCTTCATAACAATTAACGGGTCAACAAATCCCCAGAGAGAGGGAGCAATAAGTCAGATGACCTAAAATATATAACAATTATAATCACCTTCAATTAAGATTGTTCTCTATCTTTGAACAGTCTAATGTCAAGTCTCCTCCAACAAACCATAACTTATGCAACTTTGAGCTTCTATAAGTTAATAGTCTGTGCAACTAGGATTGACTAAGTGGATATTCAAAACATACCAAGCTACACCTAGAAGATCATCAACTTAGTGAAATATCTTTGACATATGTCTGAGGGATGCAGGTCAACAAATATGAAATCAAATTGCTGTAATATCTACTAGACAAATGTGAACCTGGACTGAAGGATGAAGAATTTAATGTCTATTTGAACAAGAAACAAAGAACTGAAGTAAATCAAACTTGGGTTCTGAGGCTTTGATATATGCTCAGAATATTTTAAAAATCAAATAATAGAAATAAACAAAACTTGGCTTCTGACGCCTTTACGTATACTCAAAACTTTAAAAAGAAAAGTGTTTAAAGAGTGAAATACATATATCATATAATCAGAGTCGGTGATCCATACGGATTCATCGTAAAGAGTCTTAAAATATGCTGGCAATGACTAATGCTGCCATAATCTTCCTTGTACAGTCACCTTAGAATTTAAAGAATTCATGACTAACAACCAAAGAAGTTTGCCTACAAACAGAAAACCCCATTTACAGAAAATAAAATTCGCAAACAAACAACTGAAGTTATCTACTAAAGAACTTTTAAAGCCACCATGATTATGTAGTAGTCTGTAAACTAAACCATCCTTGCTGAACTAAATTCTAGGACTTTCGTCATCGTTGGCATCACTTTAGTTTTGTGGAATTTTCCAATGAAGGAAAGAAAATTTCTGCAAAGTTATATGGAAAAATAAAATAATGATAGGTATTGATGATCATGATTGTGCACTCAGCACTACCATTATAAGAAGGGGGAATCTATTGATAAATACCCCAAATTCTCAAAAAATGACATAACTAGAAATAATGATTCACACCAACACTTGAAGATCAATGCACATAATATAGTTGATATTAAAAATAAATGATATACCAACCACTTACCATGCTCTGTTCTTATGTGATAATACTCATTTAACTTCCTTGTTTGGGAGGATGAACCATTAGTAAAGAGACTTGGTCTGCTCTTTTCAAATCAAGGACACACATAAAGTAACCTACTTTTCCCTCACTGCCCCACCCCAAAGCTCATACACACACACACACACACATATTTCATAGTCCATTCTACTAGTACCACCACGACATAAACATAATTAACCACATCAGTCAAACTACCAATTAATGACTTGATAAATAGAAAAAAATCCTATAGGTATTGTTTCAAGTGATCATGATAGTAGTAATGTGGTAGCTCTATACAAGTACTCTCCCGAATGAATGAACATTAGTTCAGTTGAAAATCAAGCTCATTACATAAAAAGGCACTACCTCATAATTCACATTTTTCTCTGACTATTTGATCTTCTCTTTCTATTAAAACGTCAATGATGCACATTAACCATACCAGATCATGACTCATACACTTGAGACATTCCAATTCAGAGCCCCTTCAGTGGATTTATCTGTCCCCATTCAAGTCATAGCCAGAATAAATACAGTAGATCACGGTGTGATTATTTCCTTTCAACCAATGTTCATAGTCATCGCTAACTATGATAGTTAACTTCTTAATAACACGTAAGTTATACTTTGGATGATCTCATGCTCACTAGGATTACAAAATATGACACGACTCCTGACGCAAAGGTGCTCACCGCATAAGTCATTAACTTTCTTAGCCCCCTCCTTAACTTCCTTCTCCGCTTTCTTGATGCTTGCTGAGTACGGCCCAAGTCCCTGAAATCAAACAAGTACATTATACAAAACATGAAAATTTATATGCATTTAAGAACAAAAAAATATATTTTAACTAAGTACCTAACAGCACTGTTCAACAAATGAAATAAAATTAAGGTAAATGATTAAAAAGGAATAGATCATGCTTAAAAAGAACAAACTTTTCATCTTTGATGAACAAAACGAACTAATTAGCCAATAGAAATCCTTTGATGGGGAGGGCAGGGAGAACCCCAGAAATGTAAACTCGAGCCTAATTCAAGGCAAAGGAAAACAAGAGAGAACGGATTACAAAGGTTTTGAGAACGTTTCAAGAATAATCATAATTTGACATAACTAAAAATACTTCAAGCAACATCATCATTACCGAACAACACAATTAAGCAATTAAATATTTACAATTCACTTATGAGAGACCAAAATCTCCTCCAAACCCCAACTTTGATCAATCAAGAGGAATATCACCCGATAGAAATCAATTAATTGCAGGAAAAAAAACAGGGTGAGAAAGCCAACAACTGCGATGTAAAACCTAATCCTACACAAAATCTTGTCTTTTTTTATTAACAAGCAGAAATATTGACGCAATAGAAATCTCTTGATTGGGAAGGAAAAACGAAAAGATGCAAGCAAAATTGAAAGCTAACCCTAGATCTAATCAAACTTGGCGAGTAAAAAACTAACAAACCCTAAAACTAGAACTAAAATATTCCAAAGTTGATAGAAAACCCTAAGTAGGGGATTACATACATAGGTTTTGAGGACGGCGATGTCGTCCTCATCGAGGGGAGGAGGGTTTTTCTCATTCAGCTCGCTTTCTGGTTCGGGAGCCATTGGAGATCTCGACTCCCTCTCTCTCTCTTATCGGAGCTCCAATAAGGAGATAGGTTTAGGTAGGGGTGTCCAAAAAGCCCGGAGCCCAGGCCCGGCCCGGTCGTGCCCGGGCCCGGCCCGGGCCCGGAAACCCGGGCAAAACCCGGGCCACGGCGATGTCGTCCTCATCGAGGGGAGGAGGGTTTTTCTCATTCAGCTCGCTTTCTGGTTCGGGAGCCATTGGAGATCTCGACTCCCTCTCTCTCTCTTATCGGAGCTCCAATAAGGAGATAGGTTTAGGTAGGGGTGTCCAAAAAGCCCGGAGCCCAGGCCCGGCCCGGTCGTGCCCGGGCCCGGCCCGGGCCCGGAAACCCGGGCAAAACCCGGGCCCGGGCCGGGCGGCCCGGGCCAAATCTGGCCTAACGGCCAGATTTGGCCTTTTGACCGTTTTGCCCCTTAAAACGGTCAAAAAACGGTTATTTTTCGAGGGTTTTTTGGTCATTTACCTAGGGGCTGCTTCTATAAATAGAGGGGGGTTTCAATTCATTTTCTCACAACAAAACTCATCTATTTCTCTCTCTACTACTCTCTTATACAATAATATACTATCCTATAATCTTTTGTATTTTCTAATACTTCCAACAAATGGCTTCTGGGTCTGATTATGAAGAGCAACATGCAACTCCTACCGATCCAGAGATGAGTCCTCCTACAACAACTCCTCATCCTACCGGTGTTAATCCTGAATCTGGTGGTGACGAATCTACGGCACCAAGAGCTCCAAAAAGGCCGAGGTCTGATGTATGGAATTTTTTTGAGAAGATAGACGTCACCAAGGATGAACACGGTAGGATCATCTCTCAGAATGCGAAATGTGCGTTGTGCGGCCAGATATTCAAAGCTCATCATAAGAGCGGCACCAACCATCTCAAACGGCATATTGAAAAACACAACAAAGGCCAAAATCTACAAGGTGATATCCGGCAGTCTATGCTTTCCCAATCATCCTCTTCAGGTACCCTCGGCAGTTGGAATTATGACGCTGCCCGAGCCCGGAAATGCGTAATCAGGTTTATTGTTCTTAAAAACCTTCCTTTTAAATTAGTAGAAGATGATGAATTTGAAGATATGTTTAGAGATGGTTTTTATCCTGCATTTACAAAATTTTCTCGTCAAACCTGTCAACGTGATATTTTAAAATATTATGTTGAGGAACAGGGAAAAATAATTTCTTATTTTAAAAATTTAAACTGCAAATTTTCTTTAACTTCTGATATTTGGTCATCTAGAGTGCAAACTGGTTATTTATGTATAACAGCACACTGGATTGATGAAAGTTGGAAAATGTTTAAAAGAGTTGTTTCTTTTATTGCAATTGAAGAGTCACACACTGGTATTAATGTTGCAAATTTAATTGTTGAAGAACTTATGAAACTAGAAATTGATCAAAGAATATTTACTCTTTCACTAGATAATGCAAGTAATAATAATGTAGCTGTTGATTTTCTGAAAATAACTTTGTCATTGCCATGTCATGGTGAGCTTTTTCATGTTAGATGTATCTGTCATATTTTAAATTTAATTGTTCAAAGTGCATTTTCTGAAATTAAACCCATGATAGAAAAAGTTAGAACAGTTACTAATATGCATAATGCTTCTGAAATGAGAATTAAAAGATGGAAACAATGTTGTAAAAGAAAAAATTATAAGCCTAGACTAATTCCAAAAGATGTTGACCATAGGTGGAATTCCACCTATGCAATGTTATCTGTAGCAATAGAATATAAAGAAATTATAAATGATTTTATAAATTTTTATGCTTCTAGTTCTAGCTCTGGTAGTGCTTATGGAATAACTGAAGATGAATGGACAGTTATATGTAAATTAAATGAGATGTTACAAGTTTTTTATGATGCTACTATGTTATTATCTGGTTGTTATTATCCAACTATTACTTTAGCTGCTTTACAAATTTTAAATATTCAAAAATTTTTTGCAAAATATCGTATGGATGATACTTTTGGAAATATAATTTTTCAAATGGAGAGTAAATTTAATAAGTATTTTAGGCCTATTCCTCATATTTTTGGTATTGGTGTTCTTATTGATCCATGCTTGAAGGAAATTGGCCTTCGAAGTTTGTTACAATCATTATATGGTGGACAGATTATAGACTTAGATGATGGATCCACCCTTACTGCTACTACTCATTATGTAGCTATTAGAAATTATTTTCAAACCTTATATGATGAGTATGCAGCTAGATATGGTGTAGCTACACAACAGTCTTCAGCTTCGGCACCTTCAGCTTCGAGCACAGGTCGAGGTAAAAGTGTAAGTTTTGATAGGTATGCAATGGTAGCTGAACTAACTGGTGGATCTGGAACTTCATCAGGATTAGAGGTTTCTGAAATAGACGAATATTTATCTGCTTCCTTAGTTAAATGTCAAGGAAATGCTTTAGATATTTTGCAATGGTGGAAAGTATATGGATCAGTTTCATATCCTATACTTTCCACCATGGTTCGTGACTTACTATCAGTGCAGGTTTCGACTGTAGCCTCGGAATCCGCTTTCAGCACAGCAGGACGTTTGATCGACGACCACAGGACATGCTTAGATCCGTATACTGTACAAGCGGTGATGTGCTTACAGGATTGGTGGAGATACGAGAAGCGAACACAAGGCATCGAACGGATTGCTATGATTGAAGATAAATTTGAAGAGTTGGGACTAGCAGATAGATATAATGATTAGATAATATTCATAAAATTGTAATTTTTATTTCTTAGCTTTAAATTTGAATTAAATTATTTCGAAAAAAGTTGCAAATGATAGTGATATGGGTGAGTAGGTGCCAACCTAGTTGGGATGTACTCATCTATTGTGATGCGACGAATTTTGAAATAAATTTATACTTGTAAAGGATTTACCGATTATTAATAAAGAAGTTATTTTTATCATTTTTTGTACTTGTAATTTATGTCATTTCATTTCAAGTTATTAATTACATTTATGACATTTTTTATAATAATTTATGATTTATGGTTTTGTTAAAATAATTTATGATTTATGGTTTTGTTAAAATTTTAAAAAAATAAAAAAAAATAAAAAAAAACAAAAAAAATTCTTAAAAAAAATCAAACCGGGCCGGCCCGGTGCAAAACCCAAGCTCAGGCCCGGGCCCGGGCCCGGGTCCGGGCTTGGGTTTTGCCCGGCCCGGGCCCGGTTTCCCGGGCCGGGCCGGGCCGGGCCGGCCCGGATGGACAGCCCTAGGTTTAGGTTCTCCCCCTTGCTGAAGAAAAAGAAGATCGCTGCTCTTCTTTTATGGTCTCAGTAGTAATGTACCCGTGCAAAGCACGACAACTAATTTTTTTTATCATTGTATTTTAAATTTATGTCTCTCTAAATTTTAATATATTTAATTTAATTATTATATATTTAAAATTAAAAATCATAAATCATAAATATTGTCATCTGATGCTTATACATTCTTGTTCTAAAAAATATAAGGTCAACTCTAAATTTCCTAGTTTAAGAATCTAAAATTTAATATATTACTAAATTAGCTAAATATCTCCTTCTAAAGTTTTGTCAATGGCAAAATTTTGTAGCCAATTACTATTCAAGAAGTTAATTTATTTTGTATCTCGAGGGAGGGTTATTTTGGAAAAGTAAAGTAGCTTAAATTAGTCTTGCTATTATCTATTTCTTCGTCTGTCATTTTTTTTATTGTTATACAAAAGAAAGTAAGTCTTTATATTTACAAATGCTCTTTTAAGTTGAAATTCCTATGCAAATTATTAATAGTTATTTGTAAACTTGTCTCTTTCTTTCATTGTTATTGTTCACATTTTAGTCTTATTAATAGAATTTATTGCAAATATTACTTATCTAAAATTTTATTTACAAATGCTATCCATATAAATAGCTAAGAGAGGATTCTAGGGCTAGGGTTTTTACTTCTTTGTTTCTATCAGCCTCCTCCTCCAGATCTGAGGCTCCTCTCCCCCCCCCCTTTCAGATCTAACTCCAAGTAGATGGGCTCCTCCTCCTCCTCCAGATCTGACTTAGCTCGACTCCTCTCTCCTCTCTCTCTCTCTCTCCCCTCCTTCAGATCTAACTCCAAGTAGATGGGCTCCTCCTCCTCCTCCTCCTCCAGATCTGACTTAGCTCGGCTCCTCTGTCCTCTCTCTCTCCCTCCCCCCTCTCAGATCTAACTCCAAGTAGATGGGCTCCTCTCTCCTCTTTCTCTCTCCTCCTTCATATATGTGACTCCAAGTGGATTCTAGAGCTTGGGTTTTGACTTTCTCCCTCGAAGCTGGTTGCTCACTCCTCCCTCAAAAGCTCGTCATCCCTCGAATCTCGTCGTCGAAACCTACGTCGAAGCTCGTCATCCCTCGAATTTTGTCGTCGACTCCTCCCTCGAATCTCATCGTCGACTCCTCCCTCGAATTTCGTCTGATTTTTTGTCGACTTTGGGGAAATCACTGCCTTTCTTGGGGGCTTTCGTCGAATTTTACTTGATTTGTTGGATTTCGGCAATTACAAGTATAATTTCTCCACGATATTCCCTTTCGTCGAATAGTTGATGAATAATTTGATATCAAAACCATAAAATTTTGTTAATCGATTGTTTCCCTATTTTTGGTATTTTTTATGCTTAAGTTCATGCTAGATTAGTTAAATTTGGTTGATCTATCTCATCTCACAAATTACAAACCCTAGATTAGGTGGCACTTTATTCTTTTTCCCCACAAATATAGCTAAATGAAATAATCTACATCAGAATAAATTTCGACACATATAATTAAATGAATTAATCTCATAAATAAAATTAAGTTTTAAGCAGTCTATATTTTCTCATGAACTTTATGAGTTTAATGTTATAAATAAAATTAACTTTTTATAAGTAGATGTTCTTCCTCTCTTAGAATCCTATTGAATGGATACACTAATTTAGTGAAATTTGTAAATAAAAATTGAATATATATATAAATTGCCTATAAGTTGCTCATTTAAATTGCTTGGTTGAAATGAGCGTTGTTAGTCCAATTTGAAGTCTTAACTAACTC